GGGCTAAAATGCAAGTTTCAAAAGTTCACCGTCTTTCAGGTGTACTGCCCAATCACCACCAGAAGGACCCACTGGAAATAAGTGGGTCAGACTTAGTAGGTTATCCTTGGTGTGTATCACACCGAAGAAATCCAAATCTAAATCCAGCTTATGATTTGAACCACTACTACCTTTATGTTTTAAGTTGAATAATGACCAAGTGACCTTGACCGTTGGATACAGTCTCCTAGATATAGCCTGTTTGAAGTTGTTTATTCTGGTCAGTAGAGAATAGGTCAGTGCTAATGCTCATTCCCAGGACAGTCCCTTGACCTCACCTAAGTTACCGTAGGCCCAGCACAAAGTCAGTGATTTTCACCTCAAAGCACCTTTTCCATTGTTAACTTAATTTGCATGTGCTCATAAGCTTAATGTCAATGCTATATTGATTGACACATGGTGGTCTTGATTGACACATGGTGATCTTTTAATTATTTTTGATGTCTACCACGCTGGGTTACTGTAGATACTGGATTCATCTTGGAGTGGTGAGAGTGGTGCGAGAAAAATGAGGTCTATAAAATGGTGCTCACAGGGAATGGTGTTAGCTTTGTCAGCCAACAGTTGGTTTAATCATAGTATGGTGGTCTCAAATTATTCGCTTAATTGGATCACATTTTCAGATATGGTATTCTAACTTATTATGACTGTTACTTAACTAATATAGTGTTGCTTTACAACTCACTCGTTAACAGCAAGCCTATCTATCTGCCTATTTGTCAATATTTGCAGACATGTTTTTCATTGATGTCCTTGATCTATTAACCCTAATTGGCCTGAATCTATTGTTGACCAATGAAAACTAATGAGTTTAATCAGAGATAAATTTATCATGATCTTCAGTGCATTTAGATTGTGTAAATTGAACAAATAAAGAAATTAGAGTGAACTTTGAGTGTAAGGGACACGTGTAAAGGTACCTTCTCTACCGATTGGTACCAGTGTTCTGTTACATTATATTGATTGCATAATCATGTATATTTTTCTATGGTAAAGTGCATATTACTACACAACACACTTTTTTTGGTTAATTTATGACATATTTCATAAATAGTATTAATATTTTTATTACATATATTTTCTTAAATATTATTACTAGAATATTTATTATTATTATTTATTGTTTTTTTTTTATAGTTAATTTTATTATTGTTATTCTCACAAATAGTATTAATATTGAAACATTTTCAGACAAAGCTGGCCGATGTCCTGCATTTAGTGTGTTCTGTTACATTATATTGATTGCATAATCATGTATATTTTTCTATGGTAAAGTGCATATTACTACACAACACACTTTTTTTGGTTAATTTATGACATATTTCATAAATAGTATTAATATTTTTATTACATATATTTTCTTAAATATTATTACTAGAATATTTATTATTATTATTTATTGTTATTTTTTTTAGTTAATTTTATTATTGTTATTCTCACAAATAGTATTAATATTGAAACATTTTCAGACAAAGCTGGCCGATGTCCTGCATTTAGTGTATTGGCTCTAGTTGACCAATCGGAATGCAGCTTTAGATGCAACTCAGATGCTGACTGTAGTGGGGCACACAAGTGCTGTAGCACAGGTTGTGGTACCAAGTGTGCTGTAGCAAAGATGGGCAAGTGAAATTATTGTATAAAGATTATAAGTTGTAATGATTAATAATATTAATAATAATAATGATGATAATAATAATAATGATAATAGTAATAATAATATTAATGATAATAATAATAATAATAGTGATAATAATAATGATAATAATAATAATAATAATAATAATAATAATAATTAAATCAAATCAAATATGCATTTACACTCAAATAATAACAATAATTAATAATAATAGAGGGTTGTTTTGCCCTCTCTGACATGTTATTCAATTGTACTGAATACTCAGCACGTTCCCAAATACTTACAAAAAAAAATCTCGCAAGTGATTCAGATTGGGCAAAACATCACTCCCATGAAATTTTCTGATGCACAACAACATTGAAATAATAAGAATATGAGTATTATTATTTTACTGTAATATATTGTTATTAATGTTGTAAATATGAACTATATAGTGATTAATAATATATTTATAATTTTATAAATTTTGGTCTACAGAAAAGTGGGGAAGCTGCCCAGCCTCAAAGTCCTTCCTTGATAAGACATGTACATACAGGTGTACCTCTGACTTTGACTGTCTTGGGGATGAGAAATGCTGCTCAAATGGCTGTGGCAAAGTCTGCACCGGAGCCCTTCGACCTGGTAGGCCATTGTTTCTTGGATTCATTGCAATACAAAGTATCTATGTATTATCTTGTCATTTATGCCAGAATTGTCTTACTATCAGAGCTTTCTTATGGACATTTTAAGGGTTATCATCCCTTTTGATGCATTAAGGGTGACATTGGCTTAGAACCACAATGGTCTGCTAACAGTGATACGGGTACAGACGTTTGTGCTGTTAATTATGGAGGTGTTGAGATAGATAATTAAGGTGCCTAACATTTTATTTTCAATCTATTACTTCAAATCTTGCAGCTAAGGTTGGAACATGTCCATCTCCGAAAACTTTTGGTTTGGTTCAGAGTAACTGTGCAGTTCAATGCAGTTATGATCAGGAATGTACATCCACCCAGAAATGTTGCAATACAGAGTGCGGGACGACATGTAGTGAACCAGTCAGTATGAAAACTCGTAAGTTGAAGATTACTCAACACATTTAAGATTTACATTAAAAAATATCTGCTAATAGGCATTTTACTGTGTTTACGTTTAAGCCAACTCATTTGCTTTTATTCACCTGTCCTATCTTTATGTTTGCACAGATTTTTTATTTATAATGCAAGCTATTTTTTACTAAATTTTTAATAAAAGTATAATTGGTTTTTATATAGATTTTTGTTTTACTTATTTATTTATCATTTATTAAATTTATTGTTTTATTAATTAATTGATTGATTTATTGATGTAAACATTATATTTCCTACATAGCCACTCTCTTACGTGTGTGCCCAGCTGTTCTGCCAGAAATCACAAGCTGTAGCCGAGCCTGTCAGATTACCGCTGACTGTGGTGCTGACGAAGTGTGCTGTACTACCAGCACGTGTGGTAGACAGTGCATTACAGCTATTACATTCAAAGCAGGTAAATACATATTTTCTACATGGATAATAAACCATTAAAAGGCATATAATTGACTTCAGTGACCCTGTAATGAAGAGTTCAATGTAATTGCAATCAACAATTTAACCTTTCTTTATACTTCCCGACTAATTGGTCTGACTCATCTATTTTGAATGCCTTCATCTTTAATCACTCATCATGAGGAATATCACTTTGTTATTTTTAATGCTCAATAAAAACTACTTCATCATATTTTTTGAATACCTAGTCATGATTTATTTTTTTTAATATGTACTGTATTTGATCTGCATTTAGCTCCAAAGCCTTGTGATGCTGAGAGGAAAAACACACCCACAAGAAACCTGGGAGGAGCAACGGTCTCACTGCAAGGTGTCCACACCCCAACATGTGGCTCATTGGGTTACCACATCCCTAAGCAATGCGACTCTTCCACTGGGATCTGCTGGTGTGTAACAGCTTGTGGTACACCAATCCATGGCACCCACACATCTGGACCACTGACATGTAGTAAGAAAAAGAATTAACCAAATACTTTTTTCTGTGATTCAAAACATAACTTGCGCCTAATGTCTATATTTATTTTTTTCCAGTATAGAATGACCATAAAAAATGTAGCCAAAGCCTGAAATGACTTATTTTTACAATAAAAATTCCAATTTCTATTGCTACTATTAGGTTGGTTTTTTGTTTATTTATTTATTTTTTTTTAAAGTAATATAAACTGAGAGTAGCAGTACTTACTGCTTACAATGAAAATAGTTCATTCTATATTATTTAATCCGCAGAAATGTGAACTAACTAAGTAATCAAAGGAACAGATAGGCATGGACCAAAGTTTCTATAACCATATTGGTTCTGTCTGTTGAATATTAAAACCATCCTCCTCCCAAAAAAAAAAAAAAAAAATCTATAAACTTATGAATGTCTTGCAAATTCATTGAATGGATTTTGTATGATGATTCTTCAAATTTGATTTTTTAGGATACGATGAACCACCATGTAGAAAAGAGTACCAGCAGTTGAGATCTGTTGGTTTCGGTGCCAGACAAATTTATTGTCGCCAGGACGGTTTCTACGAGTCACGACAGTGCCATGGTTCTGTATGCTGGTGCGTGGATCGTTGTGGTAATGAGATTCAAGGAACTAAGGGAGCTAGGAACACTGTCAGATGTGGTGAGTGTCTTTATACCGACAGGAAGCGATATATTCAAGTCAAAAAATATTTAATTTTACTACATTTAAAACAAAGTTTTAATTAAATAAAGTATTCAGTTTTAATAAAATAAATGTATATAATAAATATACCATAAACTCAGTCCTGATCTACTTAATATTATAAACAAACTAAAACAGCATTGTTGAATCTGTACACCATTTTATCAGTCTATTTTAAAACAGCACCACCGACGTCTTTCAACTTTTCATTCGGGGATACCAAGTAGCCTAGCCTTCGCAAATTTCGTTTTTCCAGACACATATCTACTAATACAATGCTAACTAATTTACTTGTCACTATAAACAAATTTGCACCATTGTTGCATAAACCATGTAGACTATTTTTCATCAATTCCTTTTTTGACTGGCTACTTGTCATGGGAATACATATTTCTATTGAATGTATTTTCACCTGCAGAATGCCCTGGCAATGAGCATGCATGGCTGTGCAATTCCAGCCCATGTGACTCGACCACCTGTGAAGCCTACCCAAGTGCAACCTGCCGTGTCAACTTCTGTAGTGGATGTACAGCCGAGTTTTATGTCAATGATGTCAAAGTTGAATGTGATACACGTAAGTATCATTATAATATGGAATATTGATAATGAAGTTGATGCTGTAGATGCTCAATTCAATTTATTGGATCCACTTTTATTACGAAAATTAACTTAAAATTACAAAATACAAAATAACACTGAATACATGGAGGTACTGTACAAATACCAATAATATAAACTTAAACTAATTTTAACAAGTAGATATTTATGGTGATGATGATAGTGAGGGTGGTAATGAATTGACAGAGATGACGACACTGACCGCGATGAAGTGATTATAATTATGCCATAATGATGATGATGATTGGGATAATAATGATGACTATTATAGTATTTCATCCAGAATCATAAAATAGGCTTCCAGTATTGTTATAGTTACAATGTCTTTTTGTTCATTTTAGCCAAGAATGGTGTCTGTCCAATTGCTGACCATGTCCGCCTTCCTCAGGAATGCACCAACGAATGCATGACTGACTCATCATGTCCAGGCACTAAGAAATGCTGCGAATATGGCTGCAGTACCCTCTGTGTCAGTGCTGAACCCCAGTGTGAGTTTCTTTTTTTCTGAAACCTTGCTCAGTTTCAAGATTCTATTTATTCTCATATACAGTATAGACAAGTATAGTACATGAAATTTGTTTTCCAGAGTTAGGAATACACAAGATATGCATACAAATTAAATTATAAGACAAATATAATATAAAATTATACATACAGTGCAAAAAATATTTAAATTACAGATGTATCATGAATGGTAGATTTTTCATTTCTTATGATCTGTTCATTCTGGAGACCACAGATGGGCAAAGTGCAGCCCGCGGGCCACATGCGGCGTGTCAGCGATTTTTTTTGCGGCCCGCGACAATGAATTAAAAACCCTATGTTTGCGGCCCGCCAATCAAAATTGGCTAGAAAACACCTTGTTGTTTACGGCCCGACACCAATATGTAAAAAGTAACATTAACTGAGAATAAAGGTGATGTAAAAAAAGCAGTGATTGGAGGTTTTTGGAAGCTCACTGGAACATCAAAGTTTGGGTGTGGCCCTCGGTGTTAAATCAAAAGTTCACTTTGGCCCTCTGACCGATTTTTATGCTCACCCCTGCTGTAGACTCTCTAATGATAATTGATGGGTACCAGTGATGTAAGTAACCATGTCAGTTCCATTAACAATGATCTTCTTGGTTCCTCAGTGAAGAATGGTCAGTGTCCAGCAATTCCTGCCGACTACTACGGAAGCTGCACCAGTGAGTGTTCTGCTGATACAGATTGCACGGGTAAAGCAAAGTGCTGTTACAACGGATGTGGACGCATTTGCATGCTGCCTCAACAACAAAGTAAGTATGAGCTTTGACAGATTGCCGAGTCTAGTATAGACTGCTAGTGAAAGCCTGTGTAATACATTTATTTAAGCTAGACATTAAAATGTTATCTTTACATTTACAGTGGCTGACAAACATGGCTCCAGTATTTTGATAAATAACTTTCCATAGATATTTAATGTTTAAGCTTAACTGAAAACTAAATTAATTCTCTTCATGAAGTTATGAAACAGATTTACTTTATAAACATCTCTTGCTTTCCATAGCATTTGTTGGCCAGTGTCCATTCCCCTGGGTTGATATCAGCACATGCACAGGTTACTCAAGTTCATGTGTCCACAATGGAGACTGCCCGACCAATCAGAAGTGTTGTGAGAGTGGTTGCGGAAAACAATGTGTTGCAGCAGAGGGTGTAACCACTACTATTGTTGATGCTAACAACGCTGTTGTCACCACCAACTCCTTAAGTGGTAAAATCATTTTCAATGTTTAAAAAATTATTTGAATAAATTACATTTATTAACTTACCTAGATATATTGCCAGTTTTATCAAACAAAACACCAATTGATAAATAATGAATTAAAAAATAATTGGAAGAAAAATTACAAAGTGTAGGGCACAGATTTATTTGGGGTGTTCATAGACAAACAATTATTACTCCAATTTGTATAATTTAGTTGGTTATACAGTAGATTGATAAACTCTTGTACAATTTTTTTTTTTTTTAGAGAAGACAGGAATGTGCCCCGCTCAGAAGTACCTTGCTTGCTCCTATGTACAAGAATGTGCTGTGGATTCTGACTGCACTGGAACAAGCAAGTGTTGTAATAATGGTTGTGGATTTGTGTGTACTGGACCATGGACAAGCAGTGAGTCTCAATTATAAGATATCGTATACTTTAACTAGACTCGTAATTTGTTTTGTAACGTAATAGGCTGTTTTGTTACAATACTGATTGTAATCACATAGTGAATGTTCAATATAATAATGCACAGTTTACCATTACTTCCAATTGAAAGATTATCATTTATTTATTTATTTATTCAACAATATTTCACAATAGTAATTAATGTAATATCCTTGAAAGCTTTGAATCAAAAGTGATAAACAAACTTACAAAACCTTCCAATAATAATTATTTGTGTTTATTACAGATAAATATGGTTACTGTCCACGTGCTAGCATTCAAGATGTATTGACCAATGTAGCAGCCTGCACAGCTGACATGGATTGTCCAGGAGATAGGAAATGCTGTAACATTGATGCTAACCAGAAAGCATGCGTCAACGTATGGAAAAAAGGTGAGGTATTCACTATGAATAATCATGAACTTTCAAAAGTCTTTATAACGACTGATTATTTTAGACTAAATACACTATACTTTTTTGGTTTTGTTTTGTAGTGACCAGTGGACAGTGTCCAACTTACACTAGCCTAGAGGTGACATCATGTGTGTACTCTAATGAGTGTTCAACTGATGTAGATTGTCTGATGTATGGAACCAACAGAAAGTGTTGCTCAACGCCTTGTGGTGGAACCAAGTGCAAGATTGCTGATACCTACCCTTGTGAGTTAATGGACTGTTTCGCTAAGCCCCTTGGATATTCCTTAGAAGGTCCCACAAAATGGCAGCCCTTTGAACCATGGCTACTGTATGTCTGTGATTGTAAATATAAACTTGTGTTGAAACTTAGGGTTCTCTTATAAAATCGCTGATTTATTGATAGATAGATTGATTATTTGATTGATGGATTCTTTTATTATGCATTCTTGGGGTGAACATAGAAGGATTGTAGTAGTGAGGTCATATCAAACCATATCATAGTATCTTCTGACTTCAGATCCTGTCGGATGATCTGCAGTTAAGACGACAGTCACTAATGATGTGTTGCCTTCGACATTCACATAGATTTTACCTTCAATCCTATGGCAGAATGAGTCACTGTAACCAGTTCTGAGATGATTTAGTTGGATCCACATAGAGTATTTTAGTGTATGTTTATAATACATCAAATTGGTTATAAATTATATTATATGATTGATAATTTAATGTAACTTCTTAATCTTTCTAGCATGCATGTACAAAGGAAAGCAGTACGTCCATCAAGACTTCTGGTCACCTGACAGTTGTACCATCTGCAAATGCTGGTCTGGCACTGCCAAATGTACCCAGAGGAAGTGTCCAACTTACGACAGCACCAAGTGCCAAGCAGTCTACCGCGATGGACAGTGCTGTCCAGATGTTTACTGCCAATCAGAGAATGTTATTGGACAAACTCCTGGTGAGTTTGCAATGTTAAAAGAATGTGCATTATGTTTTTGAAAGTATTGTTACACTGAAGACGGCAGTTGTACTGCAGAAACATGTTTGTATCAAGTTTTTTAATAAAACAGTTAGGCCTATCTTAAATGATTGTATTAAGATTTATTTCTTGCCTGGTATTACACCAACTGTTTGTAAAAGTATAATTGATGCTAAAAGAATCATTCATGAAGAATATTAGCTAATATATTGTCATAGTTAGTTGCACTCTCATTGAAGATCACTTCCTGATGAGCAAGTTTTCATTGGCTCATTCTTTTCTTCTATCCAGTTAAATGTACTGACCAGCAAGGCCTTAGCTACCAGAATGGAGACGTCTGGTACCCAGATAGCTGCAGTGAATGCCGATGCAACGAGGGACAAGTGGAGTGTTCAGCGTACAAATGCTTTACAGAACCTCCTCGTAACACCACTGGATGTAAAGTAACCAATGTACCAGGACGATGCTGCCCAGAAATCAAATGCCAAGACAGTATGTATAGTGTGTTGCAATCTGTATATTTTAGTCACTCATCATATTATAGGAACAAAGGCTGCTGGTTAATGCCATGGCAAGTCAAAAAGCCAAGCGGTTAAGGCAACATACAGCCAAAATATCGTCGCTGATTCAATCGACACAATCGCCTATGGTTCTTGTGGCGGAACAAGTCTCCTCGGATAAGGTCTATAAACCGTACTGTAGGTCAAGTAAACAATTTGCCTCATGTGCACTTTAATGAACCCAGTATGTCAAGACGAGTAGGGGGTTACCCGGTCCATTCAGCCCCTTTTTGTGGGCAGACGAGAGTAGCTAGTACCGGTTTACCGGGTAGCTCAGACACGAGGCGACCCATACTGTATGAGGTAGTCAACTCCCCGATCGCTTTGAGACTTGGTATAAAGAGCTATATAAATCCAACTACAATACAATACATTACATTACAGTGCTAGTAAATCATTTAATCTGTGATGGTCTATTTATAAATAAATTATTATATGATTGACTGCTTGTGTTTGGCTCAATTACTTTTGAAGGCCTCAAACACATAAAATTATTATTATAGCATTACTCAATGATTTTACTTCTATCCTCTTTCAGCTTGTGTTGACCATTCTGGTAATATAAGATACGAGAATGACCAGTGGTCAATTGAGGACTGTGTCACATGTCGATGTACCAACGGTCAAGTAAGCTGCGTCGATGAGGTTTGTCCATCGCATCACGATGCTTCATGTGAACTGAGGAATGTGAAGGGTCAGTGTTGTCCAGATGTCTTCTGTCCAATTACCATTAGTAAGTGAATACACCTGTTTCCAGTTGTGTTTAGTGAAAATAATTTTGACCATTTTGAAATAATGCATAAAATATAGATAGAATTATTTTCTCATTTTGTGATTGCCTGGAAATATGTAAAACAATAATATAAATTACCTGCCTACTGTGGATGTATCCAAGTGCTTTATGGAAGCACATCAAGGTTGGGGTCTAAATCCCTTTGCATTTCGCTTGTATCCTTGAGCAAGGCACTTTATCTGCATTATCTGCATTACTTCACTCCACCCAGGAGTATTATTGGGTACCTGGTACAGTCACCTGCTCCTGCGCTGATTACCAGCAGCAACACTTAAGCATATGGACTCAATGACCAGGGAAAACAAAGCGCTTTGTAACCAAAAGCCGGTTACTCACTAGGTGCGACGGCAACGCGACGAAGAACGCACGCGAAGACGCGGACCTAACTGATCGTTTTTAAGGAATAAGTGCTATATAAAAATAGCAACTAGAACAGTGGTACGATTAGACCAAAGTAAAGTTGCCTTTTGTCTTGGCCTAAAACTGCTGTTGTGGAGCAGAATTTTTTAACATTGAAGTGTGCTTCTTCTTATGGAAAAAGATTCCTCTAATGGTCATATTCTAATGATGGTTATTAACTTTTTCCAGATCCTTCTCGAATGTGCGTTGATGGAACCAAATCTTATGGCGAAGGTAGCGAGTTCACACGTGGGGCCTGCGAGAAATGCCTGTGTATGAACAGGGTTATTGATTGCCAGAGTACTGAGTGTGCTGCAGATTCGAACCCATTACTTGCCAACTGCTCGAAGGTGAACATTGAAGGAAGGTGCTGTCCAGAGGTCGTCTGCAATCAACAAGGTCTGTAGTCCAATCAGATCCTGCCATTTCAACCATCATGTTTATGGTTCTAATGAACAGCTACCAATTACTTTGTACATTTTCCATAATTTTTATTTAATTTTGTATTACATTTATAATTATGTATAAAATATATGTACATTACTGATGAAAGAAATTAGAGCAGTACAAACAATTAATTGATTCAATGACTGACTGACTGACTGATTGATTGACTTATTGATTTGCTGACAATGACAGACTGGTGTAATTACTGGTTTTATTTATTGGGTGATTGGTTGATTTAGTAATTGATAGATTGATTATCTTCATATGATAATAATAATAATAATAATAATAATAATATTAATAATGGTCGACTTATAGAGCGCATATCATAGAGACCTCTATGCGCTTAACATCAATAAGAATACAGTGTTACTCAATAAATTGGTTTTTTTACTGTTTATATTTTGTTAAATTGGAAAATAATACAAATTACAATAATTTTATACTTGAATTAGCTGGAGTGTGCAACCATGAAGGTAATCAGTACTATGATAGTGAAACATGGCAACCAGACACCTGTACCTTGTGCACCTGCGAGAAGGGAGTGACCAGGTGTAACGTGATGTCATGCCCACCAATCAAACAAGGCTGTACTGCTCAGTTCATTGATGGAAAATGCTGTCCAGAAATTACCTGCCAATCAAGCTCAGT